TTCCAAATCTATAGCCTCCTATGCAGCAAAGTTAAAACGCCTTGATGGATTTTTTTTTTTAAATATGCAGCTTTTTGCTTCACAAGACATTAATTGATGTACTGGAGTGGTGTGGATTACTTGTGGGTTATTGTGATGTTTTTATCAGCTGTTTGGACTTTCATATTGATGGCACCTTAAGAGAGGTGTGACGTGGGCTTTCTTTGGCTCGTTGAAGACGCCTCCTATGCAGCAAAGTTAAAACGCCTTGATGTATTTTTTTTTTTAAATATGCAGCTTTTTGCTTCACAAGACATTAATTGATGTACTGGAGTGGTGTGGATTACTTGTGGGTTATTGTGATGTTTTTATCAGCTGTTTGGACTTTCATATTGATGGCACCCATTCACTGCAGAGGATCCATTGGTGAGCAAGTGATGCAGGGCTCTACAGCGCGACCACTTCAGTCACATTTACGACTGAAAATTACTCTGAAAATTACTGTGGAAAAAAAAATATTTAGGCGCTCTGCTGCGACTGACCTAATCGAAGCTCATGAACCGTTATATAAAATACAATCGGATATTAAATGCATATAGGATTGCCAGTGAAAGTACAACATAAAATGTTAAATAGAGAATAGGATTTCAATAGAAAGTCCATTTTTGCTTTTCATTAAAGGGGTCATATGATGCTGCTAAAAAGAACATTATTTTGTGTATTTGGTTCTTAACTTTTATAAAGAATATCTCTTTGGATTTGAGACTTTAGTCTTTGCAACTTTACAGATCTTCTTTATGCACCAAGAGCTTGTAACACTCTAAAGAGAAAGGAAAAAATGAAATCGCATCATATGACCCCTTTAACACAACAGCCCAAGCACTGAAGTATGAAAAATGCATATATTGCAATGAGGAGATGATGTTGCACTAGAGCAGGGATGAGCAAACTTGATCCTGGAGGACCGGTGTCCTGCAGAGTTTAGCTCCCCGGGCGCCGCAGCAAAAATGGCTGCCCACTGCTCCGGGTGTGTGTTCACGGTGTGTGTTCATTGCTGTGTGTGTGCACTTTGGATGGGTTAAATGCAGAGCACTAATTCCGAGTATGGGTCACCATACTTGGCCACATGTCACGTCACTTAATCAAACACACCTGAACCAGCTAACCAGTGTCTTCAGGTTTACACACTTGGATTAGTACCGTGTATCGACAACGACATGTGGCTGATGCCTTTGACGATAGCAAGACGATTATCATCATCATTATTATTGGTATTATTATTATTATTATTATTATCAGGCTAGTATTATTATCTAGTTAATATTAGGGCTTATTTGTTCCATCATATTTCTTTTTCCGAGTTTTTACAGTGTCGCGCGTTATAACCAATCTCAGTTTTAATAACTGAGGAAACGTAAGCATTATAATTAGTAGCTTACAATGTTTCTATTAAATTATGTTATGTTAAATACAGTCATATTAAAAATATTTTATGACATGACATTCATATGCTACTTGAGTAAAAAATAATAGATTACAGTAACATTAGGCTGCTTTTAGCCTTACCCTTGAGTTCACACTCCGGCTATGAATCTAAGTAAGTAAATAATTAAATAAATTAGCATGATAATATCGTGTATCGGCGATCTCACGGGCTGACGATAGGACGATATGACTACGGAGCATATCACCAAACACTATTACACACATTTTAATTAAATATGATTTTTTTTTTTTTTTAAGTATAAAGACTGACTTTTTTTTGCCTACAGTGCAATTAACTAAAGTAAATTAGGTAAATCTATCTTATCTTGCCTGCCATGAAGTCTCTGCACTTCGATTATCATTCATTCAGTGAGTGTTGGACCTTTACAGTATCATACTCGAAGCACACAAAAGGTGGAAATGATCCTAATGATACATTGAAAAATAAAAGCTATAAAAACTGAAACACTGTAAGAAATACAGTAAATACACTGCTGCACATGATGCCTTACTGCTTACATATATCATATAACTGCTATCTATAGCTGTTAGCCATCAGTGGGTAAAAAAAATAATTTAGCTCGGTCAACATGGCCCAAGGAATTAATTTGGCCCACTTGTTGGTGAACAGCCTTGCACCAGAGCATCTGGACTCAAGTCACTTATCTGATGGCTTTGCTGGTGCTATGTTGTTTCTCTTACAGTATTTTGGGAAACTGGGTTAGAAGCCCTTTTATGAAACACGTGCGTAGATGCCCACTGATCAGCCCTGTTGCTTCTATGGCAATACAGCATCGTCCATATCAAACTGATCCGAGGACTGAAGCTGTATCTTTCAGGGACACATTTCAGACAGAATCGAGATTTTTGTTCAACAACAAACATCGTACGGTCTCTCCCTGTCTGAATTTAAAGTCCAAACGGGGCTGATCCTGAATCATGGAAGTTAAACTCAGATCTTCAGAGTGCTAAACAGCGGTTAACAGGTTCAAACAAACAAAACTAAACACTAAATAAAAAGAGCGCTCAAAGCATAAAACAACATGTACCCAATTTAATCGAATAGTTTGATTTTACAACCATTACGTATGGACTAGATATGACAGGACTAGCTGGTGACGGTTAACGGTCTTCTACACATCCAGGCTTCAAGCGGTTATGAGGAAAGAGGCAATAATGATACCGTTAACGTTACCTTCCTCCGTGTCTTTTCTCGACGAAACAGCTGTTTTGAAGTATTATTGTGTCTCATTCATCGGTTGTCTCGCGTTAGCCTGCCGTTAGCTCGCGCTAGAACTGATGAACTCGGCGACTTTATGAAACACATTCAAACACCAGAACTCAAAAATGAAAAGATATCGCCGCTCACCTTTCAAGAGGATCAAAATGTGCCGGATAAGAACTGCAGACAGCCGGAGAGACTTGTCGCTGGAGTGTGAGCGTGTGGCGGAGCTCTGGCAGCTTCCTCGCGCTGCCGGAGGAGGAGCTCATGAGAGCTGACAGCAGGGTTGCCAGGTTTTTATTACAATTTGCCCAATTGCTACTCAAAACTAGCCCAAAGCTAGCCCAATCGCCCAAGCGGATTTCCTTCACTCACACAAAACTGGACGTGTGCTTTTAACATACATCGTTCCGCAAACACAACCGGAAAACCGCCGACCTGGCAACACTGGCTGACAGACACCCAGCGAGTCAAACACGCGCAGCCTCTGGACAAGTGACGCTATGACTTATCAGAAACAAAGTAGACTACAAATATAACAACATTTTTAGCAATAGTGTTGCTAAAACAATAAAATATATTTTTAAAATGTTTAACCCTAAAATGCAATCTTTCCCCTATACACCAGTAGTTATCAAACGTGGGACAAAGGGCCTTAATAAAAAAATAAAAGAGAGATTACATATATATATATATGTATATAGTACTGTGCAAAAGTTTTAGGCCATTAGTATTTTCACCAGCAGCCTCTGGACAAGTGACGCTATGACTTATCAGAAACAAAGTAGACTACAAATATAACAACATTTTTAGCAATAGTGTTGCTAAAACAATAAAATATATTTTTAAAATGTTTAACCCTAAAATGCAATCTTTCCCCTATACACCAGTAGTTATCAAACGTGGGACAAAGGGCCTTAATAAAAAAATAAAAGAGAGATTATATATATATATATATATGTATATAGTACTGTGCAAAAGTTTTAGGCCATTAGTATTTTCACCCAAAAAAAAAAATTTGGTTTTATGCCAGTTTTTTCTATCTTTTGCTGTAGTGTGTCAGTAGGAAATATCAGTTTACATGTTTTATGTTTTCCAAACATTTCTTTTGGCATTAATTGTAATAATCCAGTGAGATTTTTGTATGCACAAGGAGTCTGAGAGCAGCCAGTGCTCCACACAGAGATCTGATCTCACCATCATCCAGTCTGTCTGGAATGACATGAAGAAACAGAAGAAACCGAAACAGGATTTTGTTGTCAGACAAGGAGTCTGACAACAGCCAGTGCTCCACACAGAGATCTGATCTCACCATCATCCAGTCTGTCTGGAATGACATGAAGAAACAGAAGAAACCGAAACAGACTCAATCCAGAAGAACTGTGGCAACGGCTACAAGACACTTCAAGAAACCAAGCTACAGTACTGTGAAAAGTTTTAGGCACTTGTGTAAAAATGCTGTAAAGTGAGGATGCTTTCAAAACTAATGTCATAAACAGATTTTGTTTATCAATTAACGTCTATTAACTAAATCAAATCAGCATTTGGTGTGACCACCCTTTGCGTTTAAAACCGCTTTTGTACAAGGTACACTGGCACATAGTTTTTCAGGTAGCTTTGCAGGTAGGACTCTTGAAGTGTCTTGTAGACGGTTGCCACAGTTCTTCTGGATTTGGTCTTTTTCTGTTTCTTCATGTAATCTCAGATGGACTGGATGATGGTGAGATTAGATCTCTGTGTGGAGCACTGGCTGCTCTCAGAATCCTTGTGCATCCAAAAATCTCAGTGCATTATTCCAATTAATGGCAAAAGAAATGTTTAGAAATGTAAACTGATATTACTGACACACTACAGCAAAATAAATAAAAATAACGAAAAATGATTTTTTTTGTTGGTGAAAATACTAGTGGCCTAAGACTTTTGCACACTAGTGTATATATACATATATACTGTATATATATATATATATATATATATATAATTGACAGATTAAAATGCAAATTCTGCAACATTTTAAATTCATTTAAAAATATACAAGAATATGAACATGTTTTACATTGGCTAGATATAATTACATTTAACCATGCAAGAAGCAAAAACATTTAATTTGTTGCAATTATAGTCGTAGATTTATATGGTTTAAAATAATTAACGTTCACTTTAACATTTAATTCCAACTCTGTTAGTCCACTAACCTTGCAATAAAACAATATTTAAGAAACATTACTACAATCTTCTAGAAATTTAAAGCAGAGTGAAAACAACTTGGGAGTTTAAATGTCTGCATTTATTTCCTTGCATTTGGATTGTGTATATTTTTCAAAACTCATTATCGATTCCCAGGGGATCCCAACATAATAAGATGCAAACAATGGAAAAATTAAATGTAAAAAAAAAAAGCAGACTGCAATTCTTGTAAATCATAACTAGATTTTCAATGACTGGAAAGCAACAGGGCACATGTAAAAAATATAATACACAATACTGAGAAACAATCAATGGACTGTCAATCACTCACTAGCTGTACAGAGAAAGCTGAGAACAAAACACAAACCCTCCAAACACCTTTCAGCAGGATTTTATAAATACAGACTTATAACAAATGTAGTTTGCGTATTTGAGGGTGAACGACACTCAGATTGGCCTGAAATAATATATCAGGCACAGTTTATTTGTTTAACAGTAATAGTCTAGGGGAAAACAAACAAACAAAAAAAAACTAACACCACAGGGTGAGAACACTAAAAAGATCCCAGCTTTTCCTCTCGCTCTCTTTCTGACCATACAATACTCAGACCCGCACTGTATAAAAGAAAACCAACAGACAGATGTAAAAAAGGCGGCAGAATCAATAACTTAAATTCACAATTACAATAACTTAAAGGCATCTAATGTATTAATCAAAAACAATCTTGTAGACTTGAAAGCAACAGAAAAATTAACAGAACACAGTATCAGAAACAGTGAAACTTTGTTGGGGGGGAAGAAATATGCATACAAAAATTCAGTATGCAAGAGAACAACATTCTGTGCTTGTTTAATGTTGTTTAACCAGTGGAAACAAAGTTCACTGATTTGAAATGCAAGCAACATCAGTTGTGTCAAAAATTAGAGGGTTATCGGCAGAAAGACCACAACTACAGTATTCACAACAGATCAAAGTTCACAGAAAGTCTTTACTGTAAATGCAACAGTTTAGATCAGAAATAAAAAAAGAACATGAATTTAAGCAATTGGTTGGGTTATTTACAAGATTACATGCCTTTTTAGTACAAATATAGAAGTAAAATGCACGTACTTTCAGATTAAAATATATTTTCATATTGTTATACTCATATTTAACATTTTTTTCTTTAACCACAGCAAAAATGCCATTTGGGTCCTTAAGCTCTCCACCCAGAGCAAAGACGTGCCAAGAGAGTCCAAAATGATCACTTATGAATTAACATAAAATAATTATTTAGCATGTGAAGAATACAGAGAAAATTACATAATAAAACAATAACAAAATACCTCCTAAGTCTATTATAGACATAGCGAAGTGCTACTATGAAGCATTATATATTCCACACAAAAAAAAAAAACAATAAAAAACTTTTGCTTGCATCAGGTATTGTTAGCCTCAATTTTCATCAGTCTTTTCTAACCGGTGACTACTTTTAAACTGCTGACCACACCCATCACTCCAACATGCATGTGCCACAGAAACTGTCACATCAAGGTTAGCTTGAATCATTTAAGGGTTTCCTCTCGCAAAACAGGCACACGTAAGCATTTCAGCAGTTTCTAATCAGACTTTAAGGGACTCTGTGTGCATTCAATTGAGTGTGAGCCATTTGTATGTTCCCTGGCGCCCTCAAGAGGATGAGGAGCAGAGTGCGATCTGCTGGACTGTTCCCAGGTCAGTCAGGAGCTGTCTGATGCGATGTTTCAGCTGAGGGAGGCGCGCCAGTGGATCTGGTGGTTCTAGCTCACCTGTGTAGTCTAGCCAACTCTCCAGCACTGCATTATGATATCGACATGTTAATACGAGCAAAGAAATTAAGTACATCCATCTGAAATTGTTTACCGTTTAAAGGTGCTGTATGTAAGTTTTTGACTCTACTAAAAAATAAAAATACCATAATATGTTTGCAGATATTTAAGAAACATGCTAAGGTAACATATTTGTTTATCTGAAAAACAATGCTACAGTCAGTTATTCTCCTTTGAAAATGTGCGTTCCGGGCCGGAATGTCGGTCTCTGTTTTGATTTGTGAAATCCGCCCACTGCCAGTTTACCCAATTGTATTTCGGCACCCCGGGTTGTCAGTTGGCGGGAAACACGGCGCATTTAATTTCAGTCATAGAAGCTGGCAACCTGCATGTGTCAAGTCTGAGGAGGGGGGACGGGGTGAAAAAAACCCTCTCCAATATTTTGAATTTGGACTGCAATACCTAGTTCAACCACTCGGTGTCAATCCTACATACAGCACCTTAAAATATTTTGAAACTAGGGAATCTTATTGTAAAAGTCTCACCGTCTAGTTCTCGCTCAATAAGGTCCATTCTGTGAGTCACCTCATCCTGCACTGCTTCAATGTGCTCCAGCAGGTTCAGCTGCCACTGCTGGTGCAGCACAAGGTCAGGGTCAGGCTTTGGGTCAGGGGTCACAGGGTCAGGCTCCTCTTCCTTGATTTCTACCACACAACTCTTTTCCTGCTCTGCGGAAACCAGTTGTTTCATACGGCACTCCAGCTCCTGTCAACAGAAACCAATAAGTCACATGTTTGGTGTGTAATGATGTTCTCACATTATTGATGACGCTGCAACAGCACTGTGACACATTTTTAACAGACTTTGAGCTAATTTGTCGAGAGATATCAAACAGATTTGAAACCAGATCTCAAACTGGTATGAAAACAGATTTCGAACCATTTTAAAATCCCATTGAACTGTTTTGACGACAAACAGTTGGTTTGAAAACAGATAAATCAAATATTTAGAAAACAGACTTCAAACTAGTTTAACAAAAGACAAAACGGACTTACAGATCTCAAACTGGTTTGAAAATAGATTATCAACCTGTATGAAAACAGATGTTTTGAAAACAAAACTGGTTTGACAAATACAGATTTGACAACAGTTCTCAAATGGTTTTGAAAATTCTCAAACTGGTTTGAAAACAGAGTATCAGCTGGTCTGAAAACAGATTTCAAACTGGTTTGAAAACAGATTGTGGAAACGTGCCTCAGGATCAGTTGGGCTTGTAATTGACACACCTAGTCTGTGATTGATTGTGTACAGTGTGCACTAACAAACAAAAAAAAAACATAACTGAGTCCTTGAATTTTAGGCCAAGCGCACAATAAAAGTTGCTTGTAACTTACCTTACTAAAGGAGCGGTCAGCCAGCTGAAGCTTGTGCTGGTCGTGGTCCAGTGGTTTGCCGTACCTCTGCTCGGCCATCTCTAGTAGGTCCTCTGTGCTCCTAAGACTGTCCTCTAGCTCAGAACCGCACCGCGTCTCCACCACAAGTCTTCTCTCCACCGCTGGGTAGTACGTACGGGGCTTCTGGTAGCAGTGCTCGCTGCTAATGTACGAGTCCTGGAAAGAGCAATGCGTCTCCACAGGTGATGGGACTTCGCTTTTCAATGTCTCAAACTCATTCGCTCCCATTTCAGGGGGTGAGGAGGGGAAGGGAGTAGCTATGCCCGAGTCACCTGCCATCTTCCTCCGTAGGCTGTCTGCAGGTTTCCAGGGCTGACGCCAGAACTTCAGGTCTGGATGGGCTTGTGTCCTAAAAAGAGGGCAGCTTTGCTTCATACCTCAATCTTTCACAATTTACTTTATTAGTCAAATAGTTGGGTGCATCAAGAGCATTACAGCAGAGGAATTACTTACTGTAAGATGCTCATTTTGAGCTGAAGGCCGTTCAGGACCTCAAACACACGGTGGACGTCCCCCAGGAGCTGATGGGCAGCTACCACTTTCTTACTGTTCTGGTAGGAGTAGTTCTCCTCCAGGAATGACAAGCCATCCATGTGACCGCTGCTCAGCCAGTCTTTATCATACCAGTACCTTTGACTCTGCCTCTGGGCTGTATACAGAAACACGCATATTTAAAAATGAACACAAAGCCTAACAACAAAATGTAATGAAGTGGTTGTCATATTTTGATTCTTGTTCTGTTTTGCCAACACACAAAGTCCAGACAAACGAACATCTGAGATGGTTTGGGGAAGTTCTAGTCTCTCACCTGGTGGGTCTCTGCAGATGTAGCAGCTGTAGCTGTCTGGCACACTGTCCTCATACAGTCCCATACACGTCCCATGCTGCCAGCACAAACACTCATCACACTGCAGAGAGCACAGGACACATCCTTCAGTCTCCCAGACAATTACTGAACATGCATATGAATCTTTAAAATCCTAAAGTATCACCACATTAAATAATTAATTATTCACAAAATAATTCAAGTAATTGTGCCAGTGCTTAATTGATTTAAATTCTGTGCTCAGATTTTTCTTCATACTATAACGACTTCCAGGAAACACAAAACTGACACCATCGGATGAGGAAAAAAACGAACTGCATTACGTTGGATGATTGTCTTCTGTAGAGCTCAACATTTACAGCTGATTCTATATTGTATCAACACTGATACTGAACTGAACTAACATTGATCTGACTTGAGCTGCTGTTCGTTAACAACATTGCTGCCTTTAGTAGAACTGCTTATAGCTGAACTGAACTTGTTTCATAATTATTGATCTGAACTGAATTAACACTGAATAGACCTGAGCAATGATGCTACTGTCTTTCAGAGCTGCTTTACAGCAGAATCTCAATTGTCTCCATAGTTGAGTTTCCATAATTGATTCAATTATTTTCCTGTTTTTATATAAAGTACATTCAGTGGGTATAGAAAAAAATCACCCCCTTTAAAATAATCACATTTTGTTGCTTTGCAGCCTGAAATGAAGACGGACACAGTTTTTGTTTTATCCAGCTGTATTTATTCAGTGCAACTTATAACATCCAAGTGAAAGATATAACACCAACATGCCAGAAAAAAATAAAAACGGAATCACTCAACGGAGTTGGAAAAAGGATCACCCCCTTGTGTCAGTATTTTGTTGAGCCACCTTTTGCTTTAATTACAGTCTTTAGTCTGTTGTGATTTGTCTCTACTAACTTTGCACATCTAGACTTTGCTTTGCAATATTTGTCCACTCTTCTTTGCAGAACTGCTCAAGTTCAGTTAAATGTGATGGTGAGCTTTTGTGGACTGCAGTCTTCAAGTCATTCCACAGATTTTCAGTGGGGTTTAAGTCTGGGCTCTAATTAGGCCATGCAAGGACATTCACCTTTTTCTCCTTCAACCACTGTGTGCTTTGGGTCATTGACATGTTGTCATGTCAAGTTATTTTTAGGAGGGTGGTGATCCTTTTTCCAACTCAGTGATTCTGTTTTTATTTTTTTCTGACATGTTGGTGTTATATCTTTCACTTGGATGTTATATGTTGCACTGAGTAAATACAGCTGGATAAAACAAAAACTGTCCGTCTTCATTTCAGGCTGCAAAGCAAGAAAATGTGATCATTTTGAAGAGGGGGTTGATTCTCTTCTAAACCCACTGTGTGTGTGTGTGTGTGTGTGTGTATATATATATATATATATAAATATACAGCAAGCAATATTATATGTTATTTATTATATTATATATAAAAATAATTCAACACATAATAAAAAATATTTATTAAATTACAGTGAAATACATGTATATATAAAAATAAATGTGAAAGTTCTTAGTTTATTTTATAGGCAATTCAATCATGTTTATGGTCAAAACAGACTTTTTTATTTATGAAAAAAAAAAAAAAAAAGAACAAAAACTCTTTAAAATGAAATTCTACAATTATGGGAAATGTGGGAGAAATTCTTCTTTAAAAAAAAACAATAATAAATAAATAAAAAAATTGAAAAGTTGAGGTCTGGTCTGATTTCAGAGGGTGGTAGTTCACCTGTATCATGAAGTCGTTCTCCTCCTGCACTTCACAAATACAGCGTACGATCTCAGAGCCGTGAGTGACCGTTTCCACGCCCTGCTCTGAGAGGGGCATATTCAGATCCAGCTCAGCGTCAGACTCATCCTCACTCCATACAAGACTGTCTGAGGACAAATCACTGCTGCTGTCTTCACCTGGAGGAAACAAGAAGACCACAATATACACTAAAGCAGCAGATTTGATCCGTTTTTATAACACCGTCATCCATGCAAGACAATCAGCTATTCTAATCACACATGCACACATGTTAAAAACACAACACTAGAGAGAAAAATCTACAGAGCGGCAATGACTAGACACATCTGACAGTGGACAACTAGTCAAGACACTGAAAGACATCAAGGCAGGAGGAAAAACACAAAGCAGGCAGCTGTGAGTTCGGAGGACCTGCGCTCTGTGGTACCCACCCTGGCTGAGCATCTTTTCAGGGCAGTGTCCCGTGTAGGATCGGTGTGTGAGGGAGAGGGGCAATTTGTGGGCCGAATTCAGATTGCAGGGGAGAGGCTTTAGGCCAATTCTCTCCTCAGTGCTGTAACAGTCTGTCAGAGGAGGAAGAGCAGACGCCACACAGGGTTAAACACAGACCGAGCTGTTCCTCACCGACGAGGCGGGTTGTAGATCTGATTCAGTTCTTGATGTTGTCAAGAGGGATCGGCAACCAAAACGCTCATTTTGTGGGTGGCTGTGCACTTTAAGAGTCTATTAATAACTCAAGACAAATGACACATAGATTTGGTGTCCCAGCGCTGACACATTGTGCTGTGATTTAAATGTGTTGAGCACTTCTAAAATGCTTGAGAATTTCTATATTCAAAATTCAGTAATAAGTGAATTGAATAAATATTGGGTAAAACGAGTTTCATTTAAAAGACAATGTGTACATCATCTTGCATCTACTTTGAGTGGCATGTGGAAGAGGGAGTGGCTCTTATAAATGAGTCAAAAGCTGATTGGTTGCCCACATAAGTGAAATGTCCAATGGGCTTGCTTTTTTTTTAAATCTTGAATGACAAATGGACAAAGAAATGAAATTGCAAATGTTCTTTAAAATGCCATTTAAAATGTGCATTTAAAAAACAATTTATTATAGAAATATTTTTATTGTTTTATTTAAATACATTTTAAAACATTAAATCATTTAAAATTATTTAATCATTTTTATTATTTTAACTAAATTTTAAATCCTGAATTAAATAAGCAGTCTTAAATATGTCCATTAATTTGTTCATTTAAAAAAAGGACTTAACTGTTTTCATTTTATTATTTAAAAAAATGCATTAATTCTTAAAGTTTAGTAATTTATGAACAGGCATTATTATTATTATGTACATTATTAGGCAGTAATTATAAGGTAATAATTTATAAGGCAGAGTATCTTCCTACCTTATGAGGCAAAAAAACAACAACAACAACAACAAAACGCATGTGCGTCTTTATATTCCGTACAGAAGTTGAACTCTGGCCTGCAAATTCACATAGCGTGAGACATTTGACAAACAGAGGATCTAAACATCACCAACTAAGAATTAAATATGTAAGAAACTCTAATTTTATCAATCCAACTTTAAAGAAATATTTAAAAAATAACTTCAATTTAAAAAGCTGGATGGTTTTTAGAGTGGCATTAGTAGATGCTATATTTTTACATTTTAAATGTATAACATGTTATAAATAGTTTATTTATGCCAAACAGAATCCCTAGAGCATGAGATCATATCCCACTGCTCCAATATATTGCCAGGTCTGAAGTAATTTTACATAATTGAGAAATACTTTAGAGAAAGCTTGCAGCTCCAGCAGACAAGCAGAGGGGACAGCAGAGAGCTGAAGACACACAGAGACACCACTGTACTAAAACAGCCGTCTCACCTGACTTCGACTTCCTTTTCTTCTTCTTCTTTTTCTTTAGTTTGATGCGGAAGAAATCCCTCTGCTGCTTCTCCCTCAGCCTCTCCCGTTCTTTCACTCCTTCAGATGAGAAAATCAATCTCTATTACTGTCATGGCCCGACTGTGGTAATATGCAGAGGAATCAGCGTGAACATGTGGACAGAAATGGATGGAATGATCACACTGTTCTCCAATACCTGTTTCCTTGGCAACCCAGTCTCTGTCGTCATGCAGCGAGCGGTTGAAGTGTTGGTTCTCTTTGCTTCTCTCTGCGCCCAGCGTGGCCGAGCGCTGCCGGTGCATGACGACAGCAGGGGGCGACAGAGTGTGACCTGACTTACTGTCACTCAGAGGAGAGGGAGTATCTGTAGGAGGTAAACAGCATAAACACATTTCATTACACCAAATACACAAAATAATGTTCTTTATCACCATCATATGACCCCTTTAAAGTACACACATGCTTTTTTTTATTTTACCCTTCTTGTAATGTGTAATATAGCTGTTTAACATGCATGTAAAACCTTTTTTCCACACAATTGCGGGTCTATATCTCACAATTCACTTTTTTTCCCCACAGAATTGAGAGTTAACATGTTTCAATTCTGACTTTAAATTAAAATTTTCCCACTAAGGGAAAAAAAAAGAAAAATGTAACTGACTTTTTATCTCACAATTCTGACTTTTTTTACTTGTAATTACGAGTTCAAGTCATAATTGCACGTTTACGAGTCTGTATTTATTTTCTCTCAATTCTGAGTTTACATCTCGCAGTTCTGTTTTTCTTGTTTTGCCACATGAAAAAAAAAAAAAAGGAACTGACTTTTTATCTCAATTCCGAGTTTTCTCCTCAGGGGGCACTTACACAACATCGATTTCAACTAAAAATGGAAAACTTTTTATGCATTTTGGCCGAGCACTATATGGGCACGTTAATGATGCTAATGCAAGTAAACACATAAATACGGACAAAATGTCAACGGACTTGATCGGCAACCCAAACAAAAACAAACACCCACACAAACATCTAAAGTAAATACTGATAGACAAAGTGCACTAACGGTGGGAAGCCGAGACGGTCCGGCGCCTGCGAGGGGTCTCCTTGCTGTGGATCTGTTTGTCTGAGGAGCGCGTCTGGATCGGGGGGCTTGGGTCGCTCTGTGCGTGATAGTACTTCATGTGGTAGTGCAGCAGGGACGCCTTGCGGAAAGACTTGAGGCAGCCTGCGATCTTGCATTTGAACGGGTTGTGGTCCAGCTCAATGGACAGGATAGGAGGTGGCTGGTTTTTGATGACCCTGTACACTGAGGGAGGAAAAGGGCAATGAGGTCACATACCGGCAGGTTTTTATACTGTATCAGTGAGAGAGAGTGAAAGCGAGGGTTGTGTACTCACATGGTTCTCTGCTATACTTGTTTGTAGTTGGAAGGTGGATTGTTTGCGGCTGTTTGACTGCTGCAGCTGAGAAAGCAATGCGCTAGTTAGCACATCATATATCTGCATAAATGTTGAATTAACAAGATTTGTACATATTCTGAAGAAAATGTGAGTGGTGCCTTGTGCAAAATTCACTGCTACAATAGCAAGGTGCTATTAACATTTGAATTAACACCAGACTTAGTGTAAATTATTACATGTAATAATGACTATAATAATAATTATGTGAATGAACTTCTTAACCTGCAGAGGTTGCCAATGGACTGGCGACTGTTGTGGTTACACATTTGTCACAGGATCAAATCCTTATTTATTTTTTGGCAAAACTAGATTGGATTTAAATACATTTATTTTACATTTATTATTTGACTACTTCATACACTTTTTTATGATACAACGCTACAGTGACTAATTTCAAACATGTGGATGCAGGGGTTTGGACTTTTATTTTGAAATCACAATAAAGAACAATTCTTATAGTTAGAAACATATTGATGTATTCACACATTGTAATTAAAGGGGTCATATGATGCGATTTCAATTTTTCCTTTCTCTTTGGAGTGTTACAAGCTCTTGGTGCATAAAGAAGATCTGTAAAGTTGCAAAAGCCCAGCCTCAGCTCACTCTAGCCCGGCCTCAGCTCACGCTAAGCCGCGGCTTCCGCGCACACTAGCCCGGCCTCAGCTCACTCTAGTCCGGCAAAATAATGTTCTTTTTAGCAGCATCATATGACCCCTTTAAAGTCTACTTTATATTAACCTATGAACTCCATTAATTTCTTCATCTTCAAATGTTAAACCATCAAGATTTTATTATGATGGAAAAATCGCAGAGCCCTTAAAGCTTCTTCTTTGTTGGCAACAGGTTTCTAAAAGCTTCTTATTACAAATCTGGAGGAATGAGTGACATATGTTGCATAATTAAATTGAGTAATCATGACAGCCCTAACAAATTACATTTCAAAATATATTAAAATAGAATTATTTTAAAGGTGCAGTAAGCGATTTCTGAGAAACGCTGTTGAAAGTGGATCGGACCGAGCACCAAAACACACTTGTAGCCAATCACCAGTAAGGGGAGTGTCCAGTAGTGATGAGGGAGGTGCCTGTGCATGTTCAGAAATTTGGGGGCGGAGGCAAGATAGGGGTGCGATTCGTTTGGGTAGGGGCGTGTTTGTTTTGGTGATTTCAAGTATCAGCAGCATTTCTCAGAAATCGCTTACTGCACCTTTAAATTTTAATATTATTTCACAATAGTAATTTTTTTTTCTTTGGTGAGCATACGAGACTTTATAAAAATAAATAAATAAATAAATACTCACCCTTAGTATGAAAAATAGCAATAATGATTCAGTCTTAGCAAACACATCTGATTATCAAACTGAAACACAGGAGGATGTTTACCAAGATCAGGTGTGGATCCTGCCTCCTCTTTGGGTGCTGCATTTTCTGCATGACTGGTTGGGCCATCCTTACTTTCTAAAGTCTCTGGGACACAGTCTGATTTAACCGGTTTGATTTGGGATTGACTGTTTCTGTCTATGAGGGGATCAGAGACATAATGTCCAGTCAGATGGTTTAAACGCCAACCAGTATAAAGAATAACAGCTGGAACAACAAGAATGAAGTATGATCAAGTGACAGAGAGAGTGAACCTGTGCTTGAATTGGCTCTGCTCCTTTTGGACGGTGGCATCTGTCCTGTTGATGCACGTCTCTTCCTCAGTTCTGGACCACTGGACTTTTCCACATCGATTCCTGTGAGAGACACAAGCCAAGAACTTGAATCATCAAGTCTGAGCCTTATACATGAGTAAATCACCCAACAATCCTTTACTTTCAGTCCTTACTGGAATAACTTACCAGACTCTTGACATGGTTAAAAATTCTTCATGGTTGCAACAGCATTTTAGTCATTTTTATCAGTTATTTTCTGTTTAGGTGGTATACACTACTGTTCAAAAGTTTGGTAGGATTTTAAAAATGTTTTTGTAATAAGTCTCTTATGCTCACTAAGGCTGCATTTATTTAATCATAAATACAGTAAAACAGTAATATTATGAATATTACTACAATTTAAAATAACCGTTTTCTATTTGAATATATTTTAAAACGTAATTTATTCCTGTGATCAAAGCTGAATTTTCAGCATCAT